ATCGTAATTTCTGCAATGATTTATTACATAGAGTCAAAGCGAACTATGAAAATTCAGAACTACATAAACATAATAAGAACCCTAAAAAACTTTGGCAATGTATAAAAAACATTTGTGAGATACGCAAAGGTAATACCGATGCCATTGAACTCACAAAAATTATGGGAGACGCGCGAGACTCATTGAACGCATGTAATCAACACTTCTCCACAGTAGGTAAAAAATTAGCTGATAAAATTCTTAACAGCTTACATATTACAGAGGAAACGTTGGCCTCTGAATTTAATAATCAACTTTGTCATCAGAGTTCAATGTATCTCTTTCCAACGGATACAAACGAAGTCTCTGCAGTGATTGAGTCACTTAAGAACGATACTGCTCCCGGTTTTGATAGTAGTACTCCTTTATTAATAAAAACTATTAAAAATGTTATTTTAGAACCTCTGACGCACATTATTAATTTAAGCTTAGCAAGTGGGACCTTTCCTGAAAATTGGAAATTAGCTATTGTCAGTCCAATTCACAAAACTGGTCCAAAAGACAACCCGGATAACTTTAGACCAATATTTCTTTTGTGTATATTCTCAAAAATACTAGAAAAAGTAGTTAACAAACGTCTTGTTAACTACATTGAAAAACACAACATTCTTTCTCAAAGACAGTTCGGATTTAGGCGAGGTAAATCTACGGAGGATGCGGTAGTTTTGCTAACAGAGCTGATCACGGGTTATTTAGATAAGGGTGAAGCATGTATCGGTGTCTTCTTGGATCTCGCCAAAGCCTTTGATACCGTGTCTATGCCTATCCTATTGAAGAAATTGGAGGTCATGGGGATCAGAGGTACGGTCTGGAATTGGTTCCATAGTTACTTAACGAACAGGAAACAATGTGTCCAAATACAAAATTTCAGAAGTGACGCTCTTCCTGTTCTATATGGCGTCCCACAGGGAAGTATTTTGGGTTCGAGCCTTTTCGCTATCTACATGAATGATATCCTAAATTTAAATATTAATAATTCGGAACTGATTTGTTACGCAGATGACACAGTGGTGCTTTTTCATGATCACAGGTGGAAAGAAGTGTATAAATTGGCTGAGCACGGTCTTGCTCGTATAGCTCAATGGCTGGACAAGAACCTCCTCACCTTGAATACCGCTAAGTCCAAATACATAGCGTTTCATAAGACTCGGGCTTCTAGACCTTCTTCTATAGTCAATTTAAAAGTTCACAGATGCACAACACCAAATTCTCCTTATGGTGTCCTATCCCATACATTCCCAACGTGCAATTGCCAAACGATAGGTGCTGCGGAAATAATAAAATATTTAGGGGTACTGGTTGACTATAACCTATCATTCAGTCCCCATATTACCGATTTGGCTGCTCGAGTTCGAAAACTAATTTATGTTTTCAAACTTATACGTAACAGTGCCAACATAAATATTCTCAAAATGTTATACTATGCAATGTGCCAGTCCATTGTGCAATACTGTATTACAGCATGGGGAGGTGCTGCAAAGACTCATATGTTAAAAATAGAAAGATCGCAACGAGCTTTGCTTAAGGTCATGCTTAAAAAACCAGTGCGATTCCCCACCAGAGAGGTCTTTAATTTATCTCGTGTGCTATCTGTTCGCCAATTGTTCATCCTAAATGTTATAAAGAGATGTCATAAAAACGCTCCAAACCTGCCTAACTACCATCATATTTTTAAAAAAAGGGTATACAAAATACCCGTCCCTAACATTAAAACGTCTTTTGCTAGTCACCTACCACGTTTTCTACATCCATACACTTATAACAAAATATGTCGATACCATAACATCAGAAACCTCAACACCTCACAGGTCTGTCACAATATTAGAAATTGGCTAATGACGTTAACATATGAGGAAACTGAAGATCTAGTCAAATGCCATTAGAAGCGTACACACAAACACACACGCAAACACACACACACACACACACACACACACACACACACACACACACACACAGACACACACACACACACACACACACACACACACACACACACACACACACACACACACACGCATAGTAAAATTATACTGCAGTATTATATTTACACTAGGAAAACATGCTATTCTTTTTCGTTAGACTGTGTACAATTCTTTAGATAACTTGCGCTCCCGGACCCCAAGATACAGGATTATCCTAGTTTGGGGTCCAATGGAAAATATTTGTTTATCTTGTCTTGAACATTGTTTAGATGTTTAACTCACTGTTCTTACATTTGTTAAATCTATATGTCAATAAAAACATTTATTATTTATTATTATTATTATTGTTGCGGGGATGGATGCTTAATGAGCAATTAAAAGGATTCAGATATATCATTTTTTGAGTTACCGAAGGATAATGAAAGGAAAATTTATTTAATTTTTTTGTTAGATAGGTAGGTATATCGAAAAAATAGTTAAGTAATAATTTAACTACAGAAGTAATACCTAAGTAACTACTTTATTACAAAACTTAGTTGAAATTTACTTCACTACCCAAGTACCTACTTACATACTTATACTTGTCTTTGGTAATTAAAATTTTTTAGTAATTTTTTTAAGTACATTAAAATATTTTAAGTTATAATAGCACAAAATACTGAAATTAAAACTTTGTTTACAAGACTTTCAACTAAGTAGATTACGATCATATTTCTGTTAGGAATCGTATTTCGGGTTTATTTGTTATTTACGCTATCTAGGTAAGGTACTTATACGAACCAAGCGTCGCGATTCCCGACGAATGGCCTTGCAAGTTGCATACGTTGGGCATCACAGAACTCACATAGTATATAATATGGTCGATTATAGTCAGCATAGGTCTTAAACAGTGGTAGAGCCATGCGGCAGCTTTTGCAGTCGCACGGATGGGCCGGCTCGAACCGGGGTGGTACCACGACCTCACAGAAAACCAGCGTGAAGTAGAGGTTTACCTCTGCGTTTCGCTTGGTGAGTGCAGGTGGCCGGAGGCCCTTTTTACTGGAAATGAGGCATTCCATCTTAGTCCTCACGGGTGACAACGCATCTACATTTTGATTTGTGATAGAGGATAGATGTAGATGTCTATGGGCCGCAGCAACCACTTACCGTCAGGTGGACTGTGTGCTCGTTTGTCACCCTTATCCTACAAAAAAAAATAGGTACTTCATCTAAGTAACTTACCATTTCACAATGTATTTATTTACTCTTTATTAACAGTCCTTAGCAACCACGGAAAGTACGTTGTGAGGTAGTATGGAGAAAAGATGTAAAGTAATATGGACACTCACTCGCAGCGATAAAGTTTTATTTAGCTTGCGTGCGTGATTTAACTGATTAATAATAACTATGTAGACTATTAAAACGTCGGCATGCAGTCAACATCAAAAGAGTGCAACGTCTGTACGTAGTACTATTATTTATTCTGTGTTTCCACCTTGTATTCGAAGTGGATCGGTTTACGCGCACGGGTGATAGACAATACCAAACATTTGGACACATTAAAGTACAGTTTATTTTCGAGGCAATTTATTTAACTCTGCCAAATCTCACACACCCTTCGTACGCGCAATATGCGTGAAAACGGTTACAAAATTTTCTCTTCACGCATCGCCTCATTCTCCATGGGTTATTTTTATTCGTGTATTCCTTAATATTATAATAACCCTTTTTATAATGTTTTTGCTTAATAAAAATTCGTGTGTACAACGTGTACGCGTGCTTGAGTGGGAATGTTTGTACGTTCGTGAACTTTTATGTGCTCGTATACTCATCTCATCACGATGATCTTAAATATATCATAAAGAAATAAGACACGTGGTCGAATCGCGCAAGGTTAATTCAGTCTCATTTCAGTACTTCCACTTATAGATTACGTGATTCTTTTGTAAATAAATATATACAAGAATTGCTGCCACTGTTAAAAGAATCCCATTTACAAATTCAATACACGTTTTCTTTTTATTTATTTCATTTGCTAAGCTTTTAATTAGAAATACGCGGAATGTAACTAGCATTAAAGAAAATAATATTTTTTGGGGTACACTAGTACATATACTTTTGATTGTTATTTATTTGACGCCGATTTTCATATCTACTGAGTGAAAAAATCTCGTATATATTTTTTATCGAGTTTGTATTGATATTGATTAAAGTACTTAAACGGTGAGAGGGGAATATCGTTTAATTTTCAGTTTCTGATGTAAACTCCCTACGCACGAACGTTTTAAGGATATTTATTCAGAGGCAGTTTAATCTTGAATCTGTTATTTGATTGACGAATTCAATGATGTTATTTGCATATAAGGTGTTTTTTTTTCCTTTTTCTATGAGTATGAATCATAAGTGTAATTTGAATATATCACGTATAAAAACACACTTAGGAACGTTGCTGGCGAGGTTGCCATCCCATCTTGTTGGCGTTATCTTATGTGTAAGATAACTAAGGGGAAGACTTATAATTAAAATTTTTTTACAACCGACTTCAATATAAATTATTAAGAATATCTCGAAAACTATTGGTCAGACCTTAATCACCAGCTATCAAATAAAAAAAGAATCTTCTAAATCGGTTAACCCAGTAAAAGTTATGAGGTAACACACATAAAAAAACATACAGTCGAATTGAGTACCGTCTCCTTTTTGAAGTCCGTAGAAAAGACCTAAGAGGCCGTAACCTCCGATAAATGAACACATCGTCATCTCGTGCTAAATACAAAATCCGCATATTAGGTTGGTTTTGACGTTATCGCCTTGCTTGGCAGGCGATTTGATTTCAGCTGTACCAGACTTCTTGTAAGCTCTGATTTTATTCATATTTCATTTTTGTTAATATTTATTTAGTAGTGCCACCACAACGGCCATTGCCAAATATGTAAAAACTGACTGTCCGGTCTGACGGACACTATCAAATTAGGGCAAAATAATAAATCCAACTATTATAATATTTTATTAAGAATATAATAACTTATGACTAAAAAATAAACTACATAGTTAATCTTATTTGGTATGGAAATCTAAAAAACAATTTCTGGCATTTTTTTCAGTTACAAAGCAAAGTCGCTTCTGACATTTTATGCAGTACACCACAGTTTTTTGGCAGTATCTACAACGTCCTTCCTCCATGGTCTGCGGGAAATGACTTACATTGTCATACTTTATTGGACTGGAAGGGCGTGCCTTACGGGGCGTGTTTATTTTTGGGGCGCCGCTTTTGCTCCGTTTGGCACAACGGTTTTCAGAGATGAGATTCTCATGCACAGCATATCGAAAAGCTTTCAGTGCCATTTTCTTTTTACGGTTGCCTTCATTCGCTTTTCTGTGAATCAACCAAGCATTGTTTACACAAATGTCCAGTAATTGCCCAAAAATGCCCATATACCAGCGTCGTGTTTTGAATGGCGTTTTGTACAGCGATATCAACATATCAGCTAGGTCGACTCCGCCCGTATGTTTGTTGTACTGTCGCACAATTTGTGGACACTGTACTAATATTTTCTTCTTCTCATCCTTCGAATATCGCAAGATCGTTTCCACAGGCTCACTAGCAACAAAAGAACTTATAAATGTCACAACCTTGTTGTCGTTCCAACGAACTACTGCCAAACAATTCTGGTCGCATGTAACTTCAGCAAAATGTCCTCTATTTTTCTTTTTGAATGTTATTTCATTTGGTTAAACCATTTCTGCGCCTCTAATGCAATTATTTCGTACTGTGCCCAAAGCGAAAATACCGTATCTCTCTCTCTTAAAATATAAAATAACTCTGGAGACGAAAATAAATGATTGCAATAGATAATTGCTGGCTTCCATTGGATACACTGACACAAAGCAATGAATACTAGAGAAACCAAGAGATTCTTCTTCTTTGGAAAAAGTATGGTTACGAAAGGTCACCACCATAAAGTATAAAGTCATAGATGATACCCGAGACCCCAGCCCTTACATAATTTTTAAATCCCCATTTACTTGGCTTATCTTTCATATATTGTTTGCGTTTTCCTGCTTTCGTTCCCTTGTAGGGTATCATCATTTCATCTATACTATATCGTCTTTCAGTTCCTTGCTATTTCAAACAATTTTGCCTTACTTTTTCTAGTATCGGTCTAATTTTATAGTAACGGTCGCCATCTTCCAGATTGTAATTTGCAAAATGCAACCTACGCCGTATTTGCTGATAACGCTTCAGAGGTATTATGTCAGAAACTTTAACATATTTTTGCGACCAATAATCGAGGTATGAAGGCATATCTACTATACCCATAATTAGATGAATTGCCAGAAAATCTTTCAATTCGTTCTCAGTCAATAATATTGACTTGCCCAGCTCTTGAACTGAATAGAAATTTGTCTGGTCAACAATGTCTGTCAATATATCCTTAGAAAAGAACATGTAGAAGTAAGTCAAGGGGGATGACGTAGCGTCCGGTAAATCGACAAAATCGCTATCTAAATTTTCTTCAATTGTAGGTCTGTGGTGATACGATGTAATTTTCCATTTGTAAGCCAGCCGAAACTTCTTTGGTTTTTTGGCTCTCTTTGCAGCTGGTGGGTTTGAAACCTGTTTTGATCTTACGATTCGTTTTCGTGACCTTACAGGAATTCCTGGTGTAATAGCTGTAGATGGAAGTGAAGGGATTGCAGATAATGACGGTAAGTTTTTGTAATTAGATTCTTGAAGATCTTGTAGAATAGGAGTAAGAGGTATCGAATCAGGTAAATCATATGTTGCATTAATTTCAGGTTGATCATCTTCAGAAATACTAATATTCAAATTTTCAAGCGAAGATGAAATTGAAGGAGCAGTAGAGGAATAGTTGCTGTTAGTAGAAGGATATTCATCGTGCATTTCAGATTCAGAGTCTGATTTTCCACTTGCATCTGAAGGAGCATGCTAATTAGGAACTAAGCCTAATATTGTTGACGCACGTGTGTGCTGCAGAAAAAAAAACAAATAAGAAAGCACCCATAACCGCAAATTAAACGAACTTTGGTGATGTCCGTTCCAACGGACAATGTAATTTAGAACAACATTTCTATATCTTTAGCAATGTACGCTGGGACGGACAAAGAGGTTAAGAAGCAAAAAAAACCAATAGAACACACTTCATACGTTAGGAATTACGAATAAATATAATCACGCATATATATTCTATCACCCAATGCAAAATATTTTTACTATTGTTACATAAAACATTAAAATATCAAAATTTTTACCTTGCTAAAAACAGATGATCGCCTCCTCGCTGACATTTTGTTTTCGAGTGACAGATACAGTTTTGCCACTCTAGGAATTCATTTTGCACAATGTTATTTATGGAACAACAAATAAATGCTAGTAAAAAAAATATTTGAAATCCATTTACAAGACGCACAGGATTTTTTTGAAAATTATGTCCATCCCAGCGGTCAAAATCAAATTAAGGGATATATGCTCTAATAAATATGTATATTATATTATACATAATGTCCATAACACCGAATTTGAAACCTAGGAATCCTGCCTGTCACACTGGGTCGTGCCTCATTGCAAATAGACAATTGGCTTATTATTAAAACTTAAAACTTAGAAGGTATAGGTAGTGATTTAGATTTTAGTATATTAAAGTACGACGAAATCGTTGCGTCGATAGATGTTAATAAACCACATATTCATGAATTTTTAGCTATTCGAACACATGTAGGGTATTTAAGAGATGCAACTATAGAAAAATTTCGGCAACTTGTGCCATCAAAAAGATTTAAAATATGCATTATTGACCCGCTTGGGTCTATGATAAAAATAGTAACTGGAAATTTGGATCATGATGATGCCATCCGATATGACTCATTGATTTCTAAATTAAACGATATTCAGATCGTGTCGGATAAGGGAATTACATTAGTCTCCAAAATCTTGGATAGTTACATCAACAGTAGAGAGACTGTTTAGGCCAAATATTAACCTTTGAAACTTGAATTCACGACGCGCTCTTGGCGCGTTCATTCGATGGTACCAGTCACCGCCTGGTACCCCCGCTCCCGCTCGCATTCCATTCGAGGGCGCGGCCGCCGAGTTAGTATGGAAAATAATGGTTGCGCGGCGGACGGTATTGTTAAAGTCTAGAAAAGAATTGTTGCGCGGTGGTCGGGCGCGTGCCTCCTATGGAGTTGTCTTAATTTGTACGTTTCGTGATAACGAGGCTTGTCTTAAAGTATGGAAAGGAATTGTCGCGCGACGGCCGGTTGATTGTTTTTGAAAGTTAATATTGAATTGTAACGTCGCGTTAAGTGCCTCTCATTATGTTGTCTATTTTCGTTCGTTTTACGTGTCAACGAGACTGATTCTTGAGTTTTGAGTTATTAATTTAACTTAGATTGACATTAGTTTGCGTCGACGAGTTGCTTGTGGCATCTTAATATCGTGCGAAGGAATTTTGCTTGTCGTGTGCTCGATGATAATTTGTTGCAAAGTGAACCTGGAACATTGAACCTTGACCGACAGTTCTTAAGTTGAGCAGTGTGTCACTTGTTTTAAGTTCAATGAACGCTGATTTAGTTTAATTTGAAGTTAATTAAATATATAATAAAATTGATAAACTAATATAGTGAAATAAAGGTTGAAAGTTTCAATTGGTGTACGCCCACTGGAGGGATCGCACATTTGGAGAAAAGCAGCGCCGGTGGATCTGCTGTCCGACTACCTGGGTTAAGTCAGGTGACATTAATACACACTTTCACACACCACTTTACATCCACTCACTAACCACCTGACTGGTACACTGTGGTCAACCCTACCTCCGGAACTCGGTAAGTTTTGTTTTCTTAACAGCCATTAATAATAATCTATAGGCCATTGGGCCCCGCCCTCTGTTGCTCGTCGAGAGGATCACTCTTGGGCCCTGGTCCAGTCGACCTTTGTCGGGGCAGCTAAGGGCGTGAACAATTTCTGGTAGCAGAGCGTGGTTGATTGTTTGACACGCCCGTAATACGTAATAAAAATATTTTTTTTGTTTGCTTCCTTTGTTTGTTAGCGGATAGGTGGGTAGAATTAGGAACCACGCCCGTTAGGCTACGCAAGCGGAGTGTAGTTTAGGGTTAGGTTCCCACGCGTCAGGTATTTCGGGTAGGTAGATAATTATCGTTATCACATAATCGTATAATTATCGTTATCGTATAATTATAGCAGATTAATTGCCGAAGGGTCGGTCGCCAGAGCGAGGCATCTTTGCTGACCGACTGTAGTGTGTACTTGTATTTGTAGTGTAATTTGTATTTAATTTAATAAATAGTAATTTCTATTTGTGTAATTTGTATTGAATTTAATTTGATGGTAATTTGTATTTAGTAAAGATGCCATCGCATAAGCTACCGGCGCTTCGCCTGCAGGCGGAGCTGCGCTGAGCCGCGAACGCCCATACCTTGGTGGGGCGACCCGATCGGTTCCATAGTTTAGGAAAGCGGCTCGAGCAGGTCGATGCCCGAAGGGCTGTAGTGGAGGAGGCTTGCACAGAGCTTTTGGCCGAGGCGGGGGCTAAGTATGATAATGAAGCGCGTGAAGCTCGGCTGAGTGGCCTGCTCGAGTCCCCTCGGAAGCAGCCCACTCAGCCGGAGCTGTTGGGACGACTCCCAACGCTGGACCTGTAAGGGTTCTCCGGGGTCCTTTCCGACTGGGTGACCTTTGTGGGGCTTTTTGATAGCCTAGTGGACGCCCGGAGGGACTTCACACCAAGCCAGAAGATACCTTTTAGCCTCACTGGAGGGGGAGGCCCTGGGCGTCGTCGGCCATTTGAGATTGTCGGACGACGCCTACCAGACTGCCCGGGACCTCCTCGCTGGAAGATACGCCAACGTCCGGCGAATTGCAGACGAATACGTTAGGCAGCTTCTAAGCCTCCCGCTACTTAGGTACCGGGACAGACTACGCCCGGACATCGTGAATCTAGCCTTGGTGGCCTGTAATGCGTTGAGGCGGTTGGATTTACCGGTGGACGAATGGTCCTTTTTGTTGCTCCACATCGTGCTGTCCCGCCTCCCTCTCGACCTTCGGATACATTTTGAGGCGAGATACGGCGGGGACGGCGCGTCCTATATTCCGCCCTTCTGGGATCTGCTGCTGTTCTTGGAGGAGCAGCGCCGGCAAATTGAGAAAGCAGCGGGCACCGTCGACTCGCTTGCCAGCCACCCGGCCCCTGGGCTTGAAAGGGGTCCCTCCCCCGACCAGTCGGGGGGTCGTTCCCACAGGGGCGGGGGGCTCGTCTCCCCCCCTCAGCGTGTTGAGAGGATCTTCACTCCACTCCAATCAGCAGTCAGCTAGACCCTTCTCACCCCCGTTAGCTGAGTGGCCGCGGCTGGGGTACCACCGTCCCCCCTTTTTGAACGGTACCGGTACTACGGGGTTCCTGCGACCTCGAATGATTCGTAGTTGTAGTGGTTGTGAGTAAAAAAGTGAATTTAATAAACTCTTTGAATACATGTACATATGTTTTGTAAAGATATTTAATCATTATGTTTGCTTTATTGAAAAGAAAATTGAAATTGAGTAACACTATTTATGCCGAAGGAAATAAAAATCAATCCTCTCTTTGTAATTTTACATTTTTGTCGGCGTTGTCGAAGATATTTATTTGGAAAGAGGAATAGGGCTGTCTCTTATGTTTATCGTTTTGCTCGATTTATCTGTTTTGATCTATGCGCATCAAGAAATAAATTTGTTACAATTTATTTTCAAGTTTTACATAGTAATTTTGAGTATTGATGCTTTTGAAACTTGGTTGAAGCATAAGCATAGAACTGCATGTTTGGAAAAGCTAGCTAGTTATGATATTATCAGATTGAAATCAGTAAATGGTTATATGGTAGATGGCTTGATTATGTCTACTTGCGTGAACAAAATCATACTAAGGCCTATCTGTGCGTTTTCGTGTTCTTCGCCACTACGGCCGTTCACTTGGAACTTGTAAGTGCCCTCAGCACTGAAGCCTTTGTGGCCATGCTGGGCCGCTTCGTATCGCGTCGCGGTTTGCCGGAACTGGTCCGGTCTGATTGCGGAACGAATTGTGGGGGCACGGATAGATATTTGAAGGAGGTTGTCGGGTTTATGTCCAGCAACAGGACTTGTTTGTGTGCTGCGATGTCAAGGGGGGGCATCCAGTTGAGTTTCAATCCTCCGGCTTGCCCGCACTGGGGCGGTATTTTTGAGGCGGTGGTTAAGGTTGCAAGATCTGATGGGGTGCCTAGGGTGGTCGAGGTTTTGGTTGGAGATTCGGTCTTTCAACGTGCCTTCGCGACCCTATCCCGATTGCCAAGTTACTCGCGGACATAAGTCCTTATGTCCGGGGCGGGGGTTTGTTTAGGCCAAATATTAACTTTTGAAACTTGAATTCACGACGCGCGCTCGGCGCGTCCATTCGACGGTACCAGTCACCGCCTGGTACCCCCGCTCCCGCTCGCATTCCATTCGAGGGCGCGGCCGCCGAGTTAGTATGGAAAATAATGGTTGCGCGACGGACGGTATTGTTAAAGTCTAGAAAAGAATTGTTGCGCGGTGGCCGGGCGCGTGCCTCCTATGGAGTTGTCTTAATTTGTACGTTTCGTGATAACGAAGCTTGTCTTAAAGTATGGAAAGGAATTGTCGCGCGACGGCCGGTTGATTGTTTTTGAAAGTTAATATTGAATTGTAACGTCGCGTTAAGTGCCTCTCATTGTGTTGTCTATTTTCGTTCGTTTTACGTGTCAACGAGACTGATTCTTGAGTTTTGAGTTATTAATTTAACTTAGATTGACATTAATTTGCGTCGACGAGTTGCTTGTGGCATCTTAATATCGTGCGAAGGAATTTTGCTTGTCGTGTGCTCGATGATAATTTAT